TGCTGCTAAGGAAAACACTCCAGTCATCCTAAGGGAGAGGACAGTGGGGGATGCTCTGCCCAGCTCAAGTGATGCACTAAGCCAGTGGCTAACATCCTTCTCACAGTACTGTTTTTCGAGAAATTAACGTACACTCTTCTTCCTGGTAGATATTTGAAATTAAAAATAGCTCTACCAAACATTAATTCAGGACACCTGTCTTTTAAGAATCCCCATATAAGCGTTACACATTTGACATATACAGAGAAGAGCGAATTGCCAGCCCAGCAAATGTATCTTGAGATGTAAAAAGTCAAACTGAGTTCTCTCTCTCATATGTCATCAGCATGTCTGCAGGGCAAATTATACCTTCAGTGACATCTGTGCAAATCCATTTTTTTCAGTGGATGAGGTATAGCAGTGATTGATTGAGATTTAACAACTCTGTAATTAACACACAAGAAAAGACAGAATTCAGGTCCTCCTCTCTCAGCCTATGAAACTCTAACAGAGAAAATGCAGCAAGGACAATAAGAAATACCAAAATGAGGTCACCCCTATTCAGAAACCTGCCCTTACACATTTGCATTAACTGTATCATCTGAAACAAAACTATCACACAAAACAGCTATTCAAAGGCTCTGGTTCAGCACATTCAATTACCTTGTAGAGAAGAGGAAAGTCAAAAACATGAAGCTCATCTGAATGGAAAATACTGAAAGAGAAACAAGGTAAAATTAGACTTACATCACAGAAGTAAAGATCACTTAAATCTCTGCAATTGCCGTGTACACGCTTTTTGCCCCCCTACAACAGGTCAGAAGCTAGGCTGGACCAAGTCTATCCAGAGAAATCCAATGACAGTCAACCGTTAAAGACAATCACGTCTGGAAGAACAATACCTATCATTGCCTCTAAGAAAGCTAGAGCTAATACCACGGCTCCCCGCAGAGCTGGGGGAAAAGCCCTGTGACCCGCACAGATCTTTCTGGGGTGTTTGTAGGTTATGGAGGAAGAGCTCTTACTTCCAGCAGAATCTGGGGTGGGTCCTCTCCCTTCTCCTTGCAAAACTTGTGCAACTGCAATAAGGCTCGTGTGTCCCAGAGGGAAGTGCAAGCCAAGACAAAACATTTGATTTTGAACCCACTTTACAAGTGGGCAATGCAGCAAGAACATTAGTATCACCAGTGACATTTTCCACTCTCTTACACATACATTTCCTAGGTTGTATAAATGTCACCTCAGCATGCACTTCATCCTTCCTTCATGAACTAAGGAAGCAATCCATTCCTCCTGAATTACAACTTTACAGCAACTAAGTACATTAATTTAATATGCACAGAAGAAAAACCCTTAATACATATAATTCTGTCAAGCAATAAGCATGCATTGCTACCAATTATCCCTCGTGCATATTTTGCTGTGGCTAGAATATTAACATAAAAATTACATGAAAACATTACTCAGCAGAATAATAAATGCAGTTTCTTCTCAAACTCCTTGTATTAATTTCACATCCTGGTATAACACAACACACACATCCAGCCAACACATCCAATGGAGGGACAGAAACTTTTTCTCGTGTACGTGTGCATAACCATCTCCACAAGTTCCTTGGTTTTTTGTTTTATAAATATTTTAGAAAAAAAATAAATTGTCTAACATTCCAAGTAGATTCAATGCTTACATTAATACTCTAAGAAACTCCAGTTATGCACTCTGGTAATGAAAATGTATATATAATGATTTTCAATGTATTGCACTGCAAGTGGTATATATAATTACACACAGCACAAACACAGACTTGTCTTGCAGGGAAATAAAAGAAAGGACAAGAAAGGCACTGGAAGCAACCACTCTGCATCAACTGTTCCAGGAAGAACATGCCTTTTTAACTACAAAAGAACTTTTTTTTTTTTCAAAGTAGTGGTCATCAATAACATAAAATTACTTCGAGTTTCTCTGCATGTTAAGTCAGAGTTGAGACTTTCCATATCCCTCTTTTTTGCTGACAACTCTGCACTGATTTAAATGCACCTGGGATCTGGTCCTTCTCAAGTACCTATGCAAACAAGTATTTCCTCCATTTTGAGAAAAAGCTCCTTAGATTGGATTCCTTCTCTGCTTTCAGAATAAAGTATTTATACACTACCAGTTATAATTCCATGTAGTATTTTACACACATACAGTGTGTTTCATAATCCAAAAAACTGCCACAATGAGGACTGAATAGGAACTAACCCACTAAGGGCAGGGGCAAATTTCAAAATGCTGACTTCAGTGGAGGTTGGATTTATAGAAGATATATTATTTTTATTAGACAGAAACATGTGCACATACACAGACTTCAAGGTAGGTGATGCATTGATTTCTTGAAAGCTAACAGTTTTAGAGTGTATGAGATGTGATTTATACCGCAGTATACTGCAGTTACCTCTCCACCAAGCAAATTGAAACTCCTGTCTCTGGACAGACGGAAGCGAGACAGGAATTCCCTGCTGGGAGAGGAGACAGTGCCTGTATACCTCTGCCTTTCCCTGGGAGGTAGTGATCTGCAAGTGTATTTTTAACTGATGGCAAGGATACCAGCAGTCTGTTCTCATGTGTATGTTATTTAAGGCTGAATGACTAGAGTGCTTCTAAAACAAACTCTGCAAGAAATGCATTCATCCACAGAAATATATCAACACATTCAAACTCCCAACTAGTTTCTAGGTTTATAATCCAGTAAGGAAAAACTAGCTAAATGTTACAACAGTGCTTTTGAGTAACAGCTCAAACCCAAATCTTTCCTTTCTGTTTGGAATACAACATCTGTGCATTTATGGTTGTTTAATAACAAAGAAGCCAAAACAGAATGATCATAAACACTTGGAAGGTAATACCGTGCCCTTTGGGAAAGGGAGGACCACTGAGCAATCTCAGGCATGCCTGAAGAGCAAGGTTCGTCCTTCTCCAAGTGCTTACTCAATCCCCCAAAAGCATCCAGCCCCTAGGAAGTCTGGTAATCCGGTTTACTAGATGTGTTAAAAGTACAGTTCTAGCCCCATGCCAGTATTGCCCATGCCCCACCCTTTCCAGTACATCCAGCTCACTACACACCTGCAACACGGATAAAAGAGATGCTTTAGGACTGAACTTACTTATGAGCACCACTATAATCAAGCTAAATTTATCAAGGTCAATATTTGGATTGGCGAAAGTATCGCAGAACGTTGTGTAGATGATCATCAGGAGCACGCAGCTGCTGATAGCGCCAAATGGAGGCTTCTTCCTTTCAAGCCAGTCCTTGATGTATCTTCGGACAATCTGAAACACAGAAACCAACAGGTTGCCTCTTTTCAAAGATGCAAGGAGCCAAGTTGGGCATCACAAAGTGAATCTGACAGCGGAAAGACACAAAGAGAAGAGAGTAATTTGGATGACGGCCACAGTGGATTTCAAAGCTTCCCTGCCACACAACTCTTCTTCTGGGGAATTTAACATTTGTAGTGCAACTTCCACTGGGCGTCCATAATGAGAGTATATTTTCAAGTACATTCAAATCCATCCTTAATCATGCCAAATGTTCTTTGCTAGCTGTCACTGAGACATGCCCATTAAGCCTCCCCAAAGTTTATCTCCTCTGCTGATACTAATGGATGTATGTAATTATCACAGTCCCCTTTGCATCAACAGACAATTCCAAGTGCAACTTTGGGAATCTTAAAAATCTGACATCTTCAGGAATTTCATGACGGTAGATAATCGAAAGTGATCCATGGAACATTTTAATATTTAAATAGCTAGCGATGCACCAGAAGTTTTTAATTAAATTATAACTCAAGCTTGAAAAGCAAAAGTGCATGTGTTGTGGGAGTTTAAATAATTCAGACTCTGAATATCTAGAGTTTTTGTAAATCCAAAGACAAATGCCATTTGCACGCTTTTAGAATACCAGAATTAACACATGAAAACAAGGAAACCTACTGTACTTGGTGGAACTTTTGCACTTTTAGGAAATGGAATCTGAAGTTGTTTTTCAATAATTTTTTTAGAAAAAACTACAGATTTTAAAATAACTTCAGCTCTCAAATTATGCCAAATACTACAGGACTAAGCCTCCACAGATACAATGCGTCTTACTTCAGCCCTGTCTGGGGAGTCACTTTTATTTTTTCTCTTTACTTTATAGGGTTCAAAAAAACCTTTTTAAAGCTTTTATCATGCAGCTGTGACTTGTGTTAATTTTTCAGCAATCACATTATCTTGCCTAATTTCTCCTGAGACCGCCCGATGTTCTCTGTTACCATGCTCTTTCAAAAATAATAGCACAAGATCCTGAAACACTTCTACCAGAAGGCTCTAAAGGTGTCTCATTACTTTCCCGTAGCAGTATCGTTAACAAACATCACCACTACCAGTTTGGTAATACAGACCATTTCAGAGGTATTCAAGATTAATATCAAAGCATCACCACCAGTGCTGCCACAGGACCTTTCCACACGCTAACTGCCAAAGCTGCTGGACTGCACCCACAGTCATGCACGTGCCAGATGTTAAAGAGAGAAAACAACTCGGACTATACAGCCCAACTTAAGAAAGAGTGGGCAACGGAGCTCCTTCAGCCGGCTCCTTATGTGCCACCGGGCAGGAATAAACCACTGCACTGGCGCAAGAGAGGCAGGAGAGCTGGGTGAAGACACTTACTGTGCAGACATCAAATGGGAAGACCAGTCTAGTCTAATCTGAGCAGAGTTGGGACTCTGTAACTATCAGAAGCAAAAAGCAAAGATCTTCACCTCGAAACTGAGTGTTTTCTAAGCAAGTTTAAAAAAAATCTATTATTCCCTAAATTAAGGTCACACTGGGGAAAAAGACAGGCTACTTAAACCACCTGTTTATTTACGGTCCTTCCACCAGACTGATACTGAAAGCAACAAGATGTTGAAAAAGAAAAGCGATGGTTAATTATGCCACAGAACAACTCATACTGGAAGTATTTATTACAAAAACTATAACCTTGTGTCTGTACAAGGTAAACTTATAACATACAGGACAACAATAACTTTATACACATACTTAACACAGACTGACATGTAAGAGAGAAAAAATGCTTTAAAAACAAAACTGCAAGCAGAACTTCTTCAAAATCTTCAGCTGGCTGGTATCTTCTTTAAATATCCACTTCTATCAAGTCTGGAATTATTGTGAATCAACAACCATAAATACCAGTATGGCTTCTCACTGCACATTGTATTTTTAAAAAATGACAGTCGGACCCTGAAGAAATAAATTGTGGCTGCAGGAAAGCATATAATCAACCCTGTGTCATGCTAAATGTATGCTGTAAAAACACGGAATCCCATACAGTTTATCTTCTCACAAGGTTCAAGAAGATCTCTAATTTCCGAGGTTGATTCAGCCAATGATCACTGATTCAAGGTAATCTGAATTCTTGTACAACTTAAGACGGGAAAAAATATAACCCTACAGGTATCTGTAAAAGCTCGACTAGATTTTTCACAGAGAAGCTCATGTCAGCTGATTCATTTTGACTGAAAAACAATCCATTTGTTACTTATTCATGCCCTGCAGAGTTGTTTCAGGACAAAGATGCTTTGAAAGCCTTTCAATTCTTAACCCAATTCTATAACTTTCCAGGGTAAACATAGGACTTAAAAAAGCAAAGATTTGTAGTGAAATAGCGATAAATCCCACAAATACAATAAAGACGACACACAATAAAGTACCAAGCCAGCCAGCAAACCTTGTTGTTCTGTGGTGCCAGCACACTATGACAGGACATCTAATACAGGGTGAAAAGCCACGAGCAACAAAGATGGAAATGATTCTTTATTTTAATAAAGAAACTCATAGGTAATTCAGAGTCTGGACAGAGATATTAAGTTTAATTTGTCTGCAAACACCGCAAAAGCTAACACAATCATTTTTGCACGTTATGGCCTGTACTAAGAACGCCAGACTTGGGCACCATACGGGAATGTCACTTCTTAGCAGAAATGACAAAGTCCAGTGTTTTCAAGGACGTACCAGTCCAAGGGGTGAGAAGGGAGGGACAAGCACCGGAGGATGCTTGCACTGATACTCCTGTGAAAAGATGAACTTACAGTCTGGGGTAGAAATGTGAATGACTGACACACAAAATAGATGCATCAGACTGCCACACTGATGGAAAACTGCAAAAGAGAGTGCTCTTCAGGTGCCATCATTACACAAGTCCTAGCAAAAGTAAGGGAATTCCCCACATTAAAAAAAAAAAAAACCCCACCCACACCAACAGTTAAAAACAACATCTTTGTGGGGAAGTAGAGAAACATAAAAGCATTTTAAAACATACTTTACAGGGGGAAATGCTCCAGGATGCTGCAATGTTGCAGAGAATGCACGCACAATTTTTTAAGGTACAAATCTCAAGGTACAAAGGCCTTGAAACCCATATCCCTGCTGAGACTCCTGCAGAAATACTTCCATAAGGAGGGCTTTGGGGTCTCTGGTCCTGTGGTAGTAATCCCATTAGGCACGATGAACTGCACCGATTCTTGTGCAGATTTAAATGCCGCCTCAAAGACCAGGGAATTCCTGATGGCTGACATGGAGGTTGCACCTGAAAGAAGGGTGCACAGTGAATCCTTCCCTCAAACTGTGGTTTAGGGGAGAACAGAGAGAAAAAGAAGCAAAACTTTGCAGTAGGTGATATTTTATAAATGACCTGCGTGATGAGAGATGCTCCTAAACCCACAGAAAAGTTAGATGATAAAGGAGCATCAAAGTGTCCATCAGGCAACTACCTCCCGGTGACTGTGTCCTGGCAATATCCAAAGGTTTTTGGAAAGGCATCAGCTCAAATTTGCTTCAAAACACAGTTCCAGGCTCAAACTTTCCTCTTGGCCAGGATTTAATTTTTAACAACAAAGGAATGTAATTACACATGAATTAACAGGCGTGTCCCCATTTCAATTTAGTTCTTCTACCAGAACGGTTACATCCCGGGTATTTTACCTCCAGACTGCTCCGTATCCTGCCGTAACCTCCTTGTCTGAACACCAGCCTCCCCAAGCAAACGGGCTAACTGCTCGTGTGCTTTATTCACTTACCGGCTCCTGTACAAAGACACACGATCTCTCTTCCAGGAGAGCAGGTAAATAATGCTAATAATGCTAATCTGTTATAAAACCATACATGAAAACACCTGGGCTTTACCATTTCAACAAAGAAACACAAGTCATTTTTTCCTTGTGTTGAAACACGCAAGGAAACAAGCTGAAAGTATGTTGGATTATCACAATACCTAAATGCAGCAGTTACCTTATTTGCTTTGTATGCTATAGAAAAACAATTCACTTATCTTATTGTACCTTCCTAACAGCCAAGAGAAATCTGCCAGTAAAATACAGCTAGATCGTTTCCACCTGCCTGCTCCAGTGCTGGACATAGAAGATAAAAAATGCAATAAACAATGTAATTCATTAATGTTCATTATTAATTGAACTAAATAGGGCAAGGAGCTTCTCCCCACGCCCCAAATGTCAGAGTAATTTCTGAACATTTGTAATACAGTACATCTTTTAAAAATTATCGTATGGAATAATTTCTGACATGTGTAATACAGTACATCTTTTAAAAATTATCTAGATCTTAATTTATTTTTAGACCTAAGAAGTGGAAAAAAAAAATGACAGGGGAAATGGTGGTCACTTTTGCTGTTTCCATTATACACATAGGAGTATCTCTTGGTATTTACATCATTACACAAAGTAGTTATACACATAGGAATACCTCTTGGTATTTACATCATTACACAAAGTAGATTTTCTCTTTATTCTACCAACAATTTGGGACTGTTTTAATCTTTAGCAGAATTTACAATGTTTTTACTGCACTTCTGCTCCTCTTGTTTACCATGGATTGGTATGTACTTCAAAATACCTGGACAAAACACCTGGGCTTTACCATTTCAACAAAGAAACACAAGTCATTTTTTCCTTGTGTTGAAACACGCAAGGAAACAAGCTGAAAGTATGTTGGATTATCACAATACCTAAATGCAGCAGTTACCTTATTTGCTTTGTCTTTTAAGGTATCATTTAAAATCATTTAAAGTTAGTAATTTTTAACTAATATTATTACTACTCATAGCAACAGACCTTTGCAATGAACTCTGCAATGCAAAATTTTCTTTTGAAAAGCTTTGAGTCAGGCTAGATATCTGCAACAGTTCATTAACTTCTCAATATCCCTTCTTATACAGCGATGGCAGAGCAAGAGAGAAGACTGCATGGAATATTGGGAACTACTTCAGCGAAGCT